AAAGTTCATGATAATCTTCCTGTCTCCAAGCTCCTCCAAGAACATCCTGTCCTTGATTCTTGGAAACTGTCCTTGAATCATTCTCATCCCCCACTTGCACATCTGTCTCAAGGACATTGCATCCCTATTGATAAGAAGGAGTAATTYATCCTCTGGATCATGCTGTGAGCTCTTGATGAGGATATGCTCCTTTTCTTTCAAGGCAAAGGCRGAATCCATCACAACCTTTCCATTGGACTGGTCATGGACCTGCTCAATCCTGTCRTAGACGCCATGGTTGGCAATGGCACTGTCATGCCAAGCTCCTGGACAGCTGAAGACTGTGATCCTAACCCTACCATCTGGTCCAAAGACAAACACACTGTTGACAAAGGTGTTCTCCTTGCAAGCGTTGTAAAAGGCTCTCTGTTTGAACAAGTCTTCAGAGGCTTCAATGGCACTCTTGAGACCATCTGCAGCACCCCAAAYGCATTGTTCTCCAAGCCTTGGATACTTCTCTCCAATTGCATTAACATRWGCATTGACTTCTTCCTCTGTTGGGACACCCACCATGGCCTCTGGATGCTTGTGAAGAGCAACAAGCATCACTCGCCTTGAAAACTTGAGCCACTTGTACATCACTGTGGATGTTAAGCCAAAGGCCAGTGCCATCCACCTTGCAACAGATCCTAGTGTCCTGTACCAGTAAAGGACCAACCCTATTGCACAGACTGTATCGACCTCCCTTTTCTTCCCTTTGGGCAACTCATTTTCTACTGATGTCAAAAATAAGCAGAAAATGAGTTCATTTCTTACTCTAGTTGAGTATMAAAAATTTCATATTTTCCGTTGTACCAATATGTTGAAAAATAGTTAAGATTCCAAGAAATTCCGTAAAAGACTGACATCGAGCCGTCATCCTCTCAGTCTGTCTGTCGAATGTCTTGATTCCAGTTATTCTAGATCCCTAGATTTAGAGTTTTAGAGATTTAGAATAATGGGAATCACCCAATGGGTCATTCCCGTAAACATTGATTTAAGTAAAATTCAATTAGACTTCAGTCATGCAACACAAATACATAGATTTTTGGTATGGGCAGGTTCATGCTAAACAAAAAGTATGCACAAACATACATTTTTTWATCCTTGATTCAAAAATTCATTAGTTACGAGCATCTGACAGCCAGTTCTCAAGTGTCACTGACGTGTCACCAGGAGCCGGGGGAGCCATTTCAAGTGTCACAAAGCRCGCCAAAACAAATCTAAAGTGTCACAATTTAAGTATCACTCAGCAAAACTGCAAAAAAATAGCTGTAGCAGCATCAAATGCACATTGACGCTTGCTGACAAGAATCAGTCTACAACACAAACACCATGTCGCTAGAAGATATCATCCTTTGTGTCGCTCTCTACTATGAACACCAAGGATTGCCATCCAAAGATGGAATCAGTCTCTATTCCTCCACTTGTATAGTTCTGGCAATGAGCAGGCCCTTCTAAACTGTTGTGAYGTGGATCACAATGTCTTCAGAGGTCTAATGGAACTTTATGCACCAGTATTCAACATGYACATGGTTGATGAAGCAACAGGAAAGATACGTAAAAGAAGCTTCCACAGGAATGGAATGCCAAAGGGTCGACATTGTGAAGCAAACGCCACTTGCTGCCTTGGGTTAACACTGCACTGGTTCTGCATGCGTGGTTCAGTGGCAAGAGGCCTCACCATGGCCTTTGGTCTAACATCAACAGTGATGTACAAGTGGATCAAGTTCTCCAGGTGTGTCCTCCTTTTTGTCTTGCAAAACCATCCAGACGCACAAGTCAGAGCTCCTGTCAGAGAGGAAATCCATGCTTATATTGACGCTATTGGTGAAAAATACCCTCTACTTGGAGAGTAAAGGGTGTGGGGTACTGCAGATGGCGTCAAGCTTGGACTGCAAACCTCAGGGAACTGGGGAGTACAGAACATGTACTACAATGGGTGGACATGCGATACGTAGTATGCCAACAGCCTCTTTGTATTTGCCCCCGAGCTACGACATTCAACTGTCCTGGATTGTGGCATGATAGCACCATGTCAGAGTATGGAGTCTACAGGAAGATGGAGGAGATGTATGACTTATTCTTTGATGGTGCTAAAGTCATGGTTGATGCAGTGTTCAAAATGGCTSGCAAGCCATATCTTGTAAGGAGCTCACAACAAGATCCAGACCCTTAGGAGGTAGCAGACACAAGAGCTGCCAGAGATGCTATATCCCTTAATCGTGAGGYTACTTCATTGAGACAGCTTGCTGAGTGGGGCATGAGGATGATGCAAGGACAGTTTCCAAGGCTGAAGGATAGGATCAGACTTGAGGAGCAAGGTGAACGGAARATTCTCTTTAACACAGCAATCTTGCTGTATAATTATCAGGCCAGCACTGTACTAGGCATCAATCAGATCCTTAATGTGTTCATGCCCAAAGAAGAACAGAAGAKGGGATTCTTCTCCCATACTGTGACAATCAATGAGGATGCAAACAACTTGTTTTGGTGAGATAGACCTCCAATTGCCTGGTAGGCCTCATGCCTTTCTTCCCTGGCTCTCTCAGCAGCTCTCTCGCGCTGTGCAGCCAACACATTGCTCAGAGGCCTTCATGACATCCCTCTTTGCATTGGCAGTGTTGTAAGAAGAACGGACACAAGGGGCTCTGCTCCTTTGTGTGGTTGATGATTCAGATACGGCTCTTGCATTGACAACTGGAACTGCAAAGGTCTCTTCCTGATGAGTAAGTTGTTAATCTTCTGTTTCTTGTGTGGAAGCTTGTTGGAGTACTAGCTGAGGGGGGGGTGTTGTTGTTGTTGCCGTTGTTCCTGTCACGACTAACATTGCCACTATTGTTGCTGCTGTTGCTGTTTTCAGCAGGAGGAGCTCGATGATTTCCCTCAGGATCACCATCACGACCATCAGGATGGACATATCCTTCTTCAATATCAAAGTGCTCCTCTCCATCTCCAATATCTGCCTTCTCTCCAATCAAGCGCTTGGCCCTCTTTGCCAGTCTCACTGCTAAAGGACAGTTAGGATCTCCAGTAGGGATGTTCTTCCTATGAAGGGATGCAAACTTCCTGTGAATGGAATGGAYGTCCCTGTTGGCATAAGGATAGTTCAGGGCATGAGTGGCTGCCTTCTACTTCATTACACTGGTGGTCMCTTCCAATAGGAAGCCTTGCCAAGATGGCATACATCAAGTCAGCAATTGTTTCCTGAGTAGAATAGTTGGTTGTTCCAGACCTACAACCTCCTCCTCCTGCTTCTGGAGGAGCTCGCTGCTGCCCCTGTCTTGGTGTTAAAACCATCTTGCAGATCAATGTTCTTTTTGGAATTGACGTTGTTGTTCTTTTTATGCCTGGAATCGATGTTGTTTTGTGTGTGGAATGATTTGCTGCATTCCAAGCAGTTCCTCCCGCGGGGGAAGGGGGTTCTCAGGGCTCTCAACTTTCTTAATTCCTGTTGACATGACTCCATCAGGCTTCTTCCTTGTCATCGTGGTCCTTTAGTGAGGATGCTAGCTATTCCGGCTAGTTACTTCAGATTTTCTTGTATAGTGAACTGGCCATGGTTCACCTGGCTTTTGGATTGGTTTTGGGGCCATGTGTTCTCAATACTAAGTGTTTTTGGTGCACTCACTGGCACCATGTGGTGTTCTCAATATTTGGCGAGAATGCAGTTATTTTCTGTTAATTTGAAGCAAAATTCCATATTCCAAAATTAAGCACAGCATGTAGTGCACCATAATTCAATATCTATGATTCTATGCTTTTACATACTTATTACTGTTGAGTCATAGATGCRAAGTATGTCAGCATAGATTCTATGTTTACGGGAATGTGACCCACCAATATGGATAACCACACTTTGTATGTTCTATTCATGAAAAAATGTATGCTAATAAGAAGTAGCAAGAGTTCGAGTACTACTATTACTATTACTGTAAGTCCATAGAAAAACAGGTGCCAAATTACCTTTAGTTTGGGAGGACCCATGATAACTGACACCAACACATGATGGGTGACAGAATTAGTGGGTTCTCAGTTCCAAAAGTRCTAATTTTCAGGCATGGTACTACACCATTAGGTTCAATGGAACTGGGGTTAGATGAGTGCCAAATTGAGAAAACATGTTCCCGAATAACAGAATAAAAATAGATGTTTGATGAATTAGTAATTCTTCAATCATAATCTAAAGGTAGGACCAGGAAATTTGAGGGGGGGGGTTGTGACCGCGCACAATACCATGAATCCGTTTGTGTGAGGATATCCCTTTATGTGACACTAAGGAGCATACGTACATTTTGCAGGTTATGAGCCCAAATAGACTTACCTCAGCTCATCAACCATCATCAGCACTAAAACAAAGTCGAGATTTACTTCTTCTCCTTCCCTCGATTAGGAGAGCACAGCAGCTTTCCGAGTCAAGCATTGAGCAATTTCCCCGACATTTTCCTGAAAATTCCGGACGAGAACCCAGTACTAAATCACGTAGAACCTACGGTACGACCCTCTCGGATGTGATTCATGAACATTCAAAACAATTCTTTTTCTTCTTTTTGTTTTGCCGGGAGCGCTCATTTTGCGCGACTTCCAGCAGATTACTTCGTAATTTCTTAGTAGTACTGTATAGATCTGAGAAGAACGATTTGGAAGGGATGTTTCTGGTCTCATTCCTGGGCCCTCTGGTACCCACGCGCACATCCCCCTTTTCGAATTCCTCCCCTAGAAAAACGTGGGTTATTTTTGGTGAAAAATAACCCACGTTTCTAAAACGTGGGTTATTTTTGGTGGAAAATAACCCACGTTTCTAAAACGTGGGTTTTTTAATTTGAAAAATAACCCACGAAATAACCCACAAATAACCCACGAATTTGCAGTCATCTGGGTTGATGGAGAACCAAGGGTGTTAAGTATTTTAGTCATTAACGTTATTTAATCACTGTTTTTAATATTTGGAGAAAGGCCCAGCAGGTTTGTGGGTTTTTCGTGGGTTATTTCGTGGGTTATTCGTGGGTTATTTGTGGGTTAACCCAACCCACGTTTTAAAACATGGGTTATTTTTTGGGAAAAAAAAACCACGTTTTAGAAACGTGGGTTATTGTTTGGGAAATTAAACCCACGAAATCATACCCCCGATATTAGATTTCAAAGGGGGGACGCGCGCGAGTTGGTTCCGGAGGGCCCTGCATAAATATAAGGAATGTTTTTGGTCTCATTCCTGCATAAATATTCTTACCAACCATGATCGTACTCCATTGAAAACTTCAAATTCGCATCTTTCAATCTTTTAATGTTTCCAATCTTTAGTACCAGTTTGAAACGAAATTCTTTTTATTATTTAAGAACATTAGTGAGGCACGCCACCAAAATCAGAAAGACATCTCACAATTTCCGTACCATTTAATAAGTTCTGCTGAGAGATATGCGGAAGTAATTCCAGACTAAAWGATAGGTTTATTCTCTCCGTACCATTTACTGTAGTACGGTAGGAAAGGAACATCTTTTCGCGTTTTTCTTCCGGAACARAGAAAGAATAGAAAGTGTACTTCAACAGGGCTCTACTGCTCTGTTCCGAAGAAGAATACCTTTGTTGTCAATTTTGCACGTGCAACCCAACACCTCAAAACAACTCAAAGAATCGAAAGACTTTTTTTAGATTCCACTAATAGGATCCGTTTGACATCGCTATTCAGCAGCGTCTTCCAGTCATAAAATTTCTGGGATTATCCCACAAAAGGATAAGCTTGAACCAAATAATCTTNTAGGATCCGTTTGACATCGCTATTCAGCAGCGTCTTCCAGTCATAAAATTTCTGGGATTATCCCACAAAAGGATAAGCTTGAACCAAATAATCTTGACAGTGCTGAGGTTCACAGCCATTTARTGAAAACTCAGTTTACAAGTGCACTAATCTAYTTAAACCGGAACTCTTTGAAGAATACCTAGCAAGATGAACTCGAACAACGGTCTCTTTCCTAAGATGAAACGCGGTAATAGTACCTATTGTAACAGCAAGAGAGAATACTTGTTATCTTCCTTTCTAACCCCTACCTTGGAAGCATACAAGGAGATATTCGAGCKTACCAGCACAAATCCTACTGATTATGATTCCCTTCGTCACAWACAAGCAGGACAGGAGTYGCCAATGGGCCTGTCATATGATGAGACAATTGATGAAAATGAAGACAACGTAGCCGGATTTCATCATGTAACAGGAGAAGCTTCGAATGTATTCATATGTGCTGATAATGCGAAAACTCATGCCAATCGCTCAGTGCGTGATCATGAAAAACAAACAGCATGGACGTCATTCTCAACTATGAGCACTCGTTCCATCGTCGAGAGTGCACTTGAAATTGCCAACACCAAAGACCTGTCGCTACTGCAACACCGGGCGTCACGGTGGTCTCCCAATGCATTGTACCTCTCTACTAACTTAGGAGGACGTCGCAACATCTCTGTCCGTGAAACTTTTGTTGATGATTTGCCAAAGTTGTATTCGAGGCGACCTTCTCTCTAACACGGGTAGATGCTCACTTCGTTCTAGACGCAACACACCGAAGCTTCACAGTGTACATATGTTCCCAATCTACGAGCGTCAATCAAGGCTAGCATATCCTTGGGGTGCGCTCCCTAATCATTTTTGACCGAAATTCAGGACTTTTTTTCACYGAACCAAGAAWTYGTACCTGAGATTTTTTAATCCTTAACTGTTCCATGCATGATCATTTTCATTAGTYTATCCGAAWGAGATAATAAATTTGCGCAGCAATGTTCGAYGCAAGTGTGCGCAAAATGAATTTGAAATATTAAGTCCATCTKAGATTACTTCTGTGTTAAATATTATGAATTCWTCTTTCSCATTGTTGACAGACAAAACATCCCTATCGTATTTTGCATAGCCGACTTCATCTATTCTTCGCTCTCGTCGTCAAAAACACGACATTGCTCTAAAGATGTATTACATCTCATTGCCAACAAAGACTTTGATCTGTTTTCACTGCTGATTGAAAATGATTTGTAGGAATGATTCCATAACACGCGGAGGCAAGTATCAGACTCAATTGTCTTCACCAATTCGGCCATGCAAGAATCGCCTTGCTCCTCATTGTCAGTGTGACAAGAAAAAAGAAAGACTTCCAGTTTGGTGCAGTGTGAGAATCGAAGAGACGCCATCATGGAACCTAGGCACCATCTCGGAATGCGCGGCTCAAGATCTAAAACCTTCAAGGCCGAATTCGTTCGTAAGCTTCTCGCCAAACGTAGAACATCATTCGACTCAAAGTGAAATCTAGTAGAAATGACACCGAGCACAGTCAACGAGCTAGATCTCAGTAGCGCACTAACAGGAAAGCTCTCGTTGAGATCCAATTCCAATTCAACCAAGGATGGCATGGAGGCAATACATTCTACTAACTCTTGGTCCAGAGTCCCAAGTTCCATGTGTAAATGAAGATGTCCGATCGACGATTGATCCTCAAGTCCAAGACGCAAGCCCAGCAAATCTTCCATGTGAAAGTTACGAAGAACTAGTTCCAGGAGAGAATGAGAATGGTTTTTGATGATATAAAATAGATTCTCCATGTCTTCAACGGAACGTTTCCTCCGTTCCTGGTTTATCATTGGTTGGCGGGAAATGATTATTCTCTCGATCTCACGATTTGATTGGAGACTCTCCAGCAAAGAAAAGAAACTGCTTTCTGGGTAATCGTCGACAAACAGATTCAGCGATCTTGCATTCTTTACGTCGATGAATCCATTTTTATTGACACCTTCTATTTCGTAGTTTTTTGGTTGCGTCAGTGCATCAGTGAGTGATGAGACGCATGCATTCCTAGTTGGTGTGGTAAATGATGATGAGGTAACAGATGCATTGATCATGWTCTCGTAAATATCATCCATCTCTGATACATTCRTTGTACATTCCTCTCGTTCGCTTCCACCAGTGGAAATTGTTCTRGTCGAGGACCTAGAGAGAGAGTCGTTGCTCTCATGAATGGGGCCTGGGTTGGGGATCCTGCCAGGCGTGTCAAATGATGATGAGGTAATAGATGCAGTGATCATGTTCTCGTAAATATCATCCATCTCTGATACATTAGTTGTATATTCCTCCTGTTCGCTTCCACCAGTGGAAATTGTTCTAGTCGAAGAACTAGAGAGAGAGTCGTTGCTCTCGTGAATTGGGTCCAGGTTGGGGATCCTGTCATATTTCGGATCTCCGTAATCTCGTGTTTCGCCTACCGAGATCTGTTCGTAACAATGATTATCACACTTTGGTTTCTTGTACTCGTTCTTATGAATGGGACTGAGATTGGGGATCCTGTGGTATGCCGGATGTCCATAGTCTATTGTTTCGTCCGGCGAGGTATTCTCGTGACAAGGACGATCAAACTTAGGCTCTGTGTATCTGTTCTGATGAATGGGACTAAGATTTGGGATCCTGTCGTACGCCGGATCTCCGTAGTCTCTTGTTTCGTCGGCCGAGATATCATCGTGGCAATTACGATCAATTTCTGGTTCCGTGCAATTCTTCTCCCGAATGGGACTAAGATTTGGGATCCTGTCGTACGCCGGATCGCCGTAGTCTCTTGTTTCGTCGGCCGAGATATCATCGTGGCAATTACGATCAATTTCTGGTTCCGTGCAATTCTTCTCSCGAATGGGTCTCAGGTTTGGGATCCTGTTGTACTCCGCTTCTCCGKAATTTGTAGTTTCGTCCACCGCAACGTCGTTGTAGGATGGAATATTATACTTTGGTTCCGTGTACTGTTTAATGCCACTTGTGGACGACAGTGGAGTTTCAATGTCAGAGAAAGAAGGGACCAATCTGTCCTCGTCATATAACTCGGTGGTAATATGTTCGGACGACTGGTTGCTATCGAACAAGTTATTCTCGAACCTTTTTGCAGCCAGAAAAAGAAGACTGGAATTGCCTTTCCGCCCAAAATCCCCGTTCTCRTACGTTTTATCCGACACTTCGCCACCACAGCGAATGCTGGGGTTTAGACGGGACCAGAAATTGCATTCTAGTTTCGGACACCTTCGTAGCCTTTCTATGAACGCCTGCTTCGTGTCGGTGCTATTCATCTTTYTGGATGGACAGTAATGTACTGTGATGATTTTTAGCTTGTCCCTTATCACTTTTTACTTGTCGTGCATCAGTATCCTACGATCGATATAATCTCGTTGTGCTGCCATGATATTAGAAAAA